ATACATATAAAATAGAAGATTGATATATATATATATATATATATATATATATATATATATATATATATGTATATACGAAACAAAATTATTATTTACGTCATTATAGAATCACTGTTAGCTATGCTTCAATAATTTAAAAATAAATTCAAAATTGAATCAAATTATATTGCATCACAAAACGTTAATTAAATTTTTCACTATATTATTTATCTCCTCCTTTAAAACTGAACAGGTTTTAACAATTGTGCGTAGCAATTCTGCCGCTAATCTGCTGTCAGACTACTATAGGTTCTGCTTGGCTTCTGTCGTCAATTTACTAGTAAAGCATGTCAGCAAGCTTTGTCAGATTTCTGTGGCATTCTGGCACCATCATCGGATAGAACATATTCTGGATAGGATTTGTAGCTTTTCTGTCATCAAAAATTTGTTAGACTCTGTTCAAAACATGCATTGACGAGTTTGGCTATCTTAACACACACAACACACACACGTGCGAACGTCTACACGTGCAATACGATTATAACAATTAAGAGCTATGACACACAGAAAAATATAAGTATTAAAACTTAAAAAATAAACGTATTGATCACAGTTGAAAAAAATTTTGACGTCGTGATTTTACGTTTCTAATATAATCTCGAACGCGATTCACCAATTTATTTACAGCTCACTTTCTAAATATTTTCGAGCAAAATTTCACTCGAAAAGTAGGGTGACAGACGAATTTGAGTTATTTTTCATTCTTACACAGTGAATTTTCATTATAAACTTGAGTGAAAAAATACTGCCACTTTTGACTTCAAAAAATTTGAAAAGCAAGTCTTACTGCTTTCCGTGCGTAGCTCTAACTGTAATGTGAGTTTGTCGAACTTTCCGTTAGACAACGGAGACGAACACGCAACATGCAAAATGATATACTTAATATCTCTCGATAACAAGGCATGCCTTCTCTTTGTACCTGGAACGTGAAGCAAGATCCCATCACTAACAGGTATCCGCAATAAATTGCGTAACGAGTGGCTCTGCTATGGAAGGGCCATAGACCGCTGAAACTCAATAGAAGCCGCATAATATTATATTGCGATTCTCGAAAGAACTTGTCGGTACTGTCCATCTCTCCTCTCATCTAGAATCGTCAGCTTATAACAGTAAGATTCACTTCACTCGGGGTATAGATCCATAGTCGTTTGCTTATAAGAAATTCCGTTTCAAAGGGGCTCCGCGAAATGCACACTGTCACTGTTACGTTTTCATTGTCAAACCGGGGAAATAAGTCGTCTGCAATCGATTGCAATATTAAGCATCAGTTTGTAGAGACAGACAGTTTCTTGCAAATTATTAGTAGAAAGCTGCACAGTCGAAATTGCGCAGTGCTACTGTAATAGGTTCTATACAATATTCTCTTAGAAAGTCGTCTCAACAGCAAATTTCTGAAATAAAA